CAATTCAGTTACTTATGAGGTTCCATATCAGTTAAGATTTTGCCTTATAAGGCAGACAGCAAGACAGTTTGCTTGGTTTTGGAACAGAGCCCCAAACGGTCACTCTTCCTCTCATCCAAATGCACATTTTCTGTTTTTTGTCTTTTTCAGCCGTCACCCCTCTCTCTCTCTCTCTCTCTCTCTGTGTTGGGGCGGGGGTGGGGGGTGGGCTGTTACTCAGGACCCCAGTAACAGGTTTGATTGGAAAGCATGTTGCCCCCAGCAACCAATCCGTCGCTAGCACCACACAGACTGTTACCATGGCAACCTAAGGGGGCAGGAGGTGTAAATGGGATGATTTGGTCCATCGAGTGAGAGCAACAGTGTGTGAGAGGGACCACACAGGCTGTTACCATGGCAACCTAAGGGGGCAGGAGGTGTAAATGGGATGATTTGGTCCATCGAGTGAGAGCAACAGTGTGTGAGAGAGAGTTTGGCGAAGATGGAGAAAATGAATGAGTTACACTGAAATGGAAAACACCTGCCTGTCTATCTATCATTCTGTTGTTCTATCTCTCTTTCTCTCTGTCATTCTATCTCTCTCTCATTTCTATCTATATCTATCTATCTATCTATCCATCTATCCATCTATCTATCTGTCTATCTAGTGTGTGTATATATACAGTATATGTGTGTGTAAAAACATACACACATCTCTGTTATGCACTAACAGTGAACTGTGCTCGCTGATAGCAATGTTTATTTGCATGCGAAGTCTGCTTTGTTTTAGCAGCTGATTCACTGAAGGAATTATTCAAATCGTATAACGGCACAAACGGCCAGAAATTAGTGCTTAATGCAATTTGCACGCTGCAGTTCCCTATCTTACAGACCGGTTTTGAGTGCAACGTTATACAGGATGCATTAGCAGACTACAACGGCCACCTGAATCTGCTCTTTAAAATGCTGAAAGTGCTCTCAACTGCATGAAGCCTTGGACTTGTGTCCAATTTTCAGCTCATCTCTATAATTTCATCATCATTTTGATGTATGACTGCAGCCGTGATTAGTAATTTTTTTGCCAACAGAGTTTAATTAGCATATAAAAGAGTGTGAGTGTTTGTTTAATGACTTAATTTGAATACTCATGGCAGCAGATAACACCTGGTTAAACTGGATTGTGAGTAGTTAGTGAATGGAAAAAGGATTTTACTCTGAAATACCACAGTCAGAATTAAAGTTAATAAATTCACCCCACAGTATTTTTGTTTGAAAGAGAGCAGAGAGACACACTGTAAAAAGAGGGATGAGAAAAATGAGAGTGCTTGTGTGTGTCTATTGGCTGCATTTGACGCCAGCTGTCCCACTGTGTCCAAAAAGCAGGTTTTCTGCAGATTACCTCCCTGAGCCAGTTCAGTCTGCTTACTGGAATGAGATTAACAGCTGTATGTGTGTGTGTGTGTGTGTGTGTGTAAGAGACAGAGTGAAAATCACATATTTGGAGACACATTTGTGTTAAATTCTGTTGTTTTTTTTCGTTCTTTTCTGGTTCCCCTTCAGTACCTGCATGTGCACCCTCTTGGGTAACCCTGGAGACAGGCACGTCTCTGCTGCACTGTAACCATGACAACCGCATCCAGGGCATGACAATGTCTCGTGCACTCAGATTGTTAAGTCTGAACCCCAGAACAGAGACACAGGGACGTTATACTGAACTAAAACGCACAACATACTCATGCAACCATCTCTTGATAGACAGACCTGACATAACATGACCATCAGCAACATCTTCCTTTCCGTCACTTCACCTGCTTTGCTACAGAGGTGAAACTGCTCGAGTCAGAGCGTGTCTCTCGGTGTGCTGTGGCATAAATACAGCTATTGTAGGAGAAATAATCAAACATTTATGAGCAAGGGATGAAGGGGGAGGCAGGAATGAGTGAAGGAGAGGGATATCTGGGGAAAAGCAGGAATCTAGGTCACAGATGCTGTGATGAAACCTGCAGACGGCTGCAGCATCGCTCCCTTGTTCATTTCATCAAGCAGACTGTATCAATGAAACAATAATGATCAATGAACTACCAAAAATATCAGATTATTCACATAAATGATGAAAACTGAATGGTCTTATTTTGCTTTTTTTTTTTTTTCTTCTGTGAGATCTACTGTTAATGTATTATTAATCATGTGCACCACCATTTTTAGGATGCAAAAGTAGTAATTTTTTGCTGAGCTCTGTCTGGTTGCCTTTGAATGCATTGTGTTTCAACGCTTCCACCAGCTCTTGGTGGTGTGGTGAGGTGTGTTGCATGTAAAAGTAGATCTGACTACAGAATTTGCAATAACATGCTTAAAAGTACATAAAAATTCAGTTGTTCCAATGCTATGTCTCTCTCTGTGTATATATATATATATATATATATATATATATATATATATATACAGAGTGGACGGAGAGAACTAATCAAGTCCAATCAGTATAATCAAACACAGCTGGACTCAAATGAAGGTGTAGAACCATCTCAAGGATGATCAGAAGAAATGGACAGCACCTGAGTTAAATATATGAGTGTCACAGCAAAGGGTCTGAATACTTAGGACCATGTGATATTTCAGTTTTTCTTTTTTAATAAATCTGCAAAAATGTCAACAATTCTGTGTTTTTCTGTCAATATGGGGTGCTGTGTGTACATGAATGAGGAAAAAAAATTAACTTAAATGATTTTAGCAAATGGCTGCAATATAACAAAGAGTGAAAAATTGAAGGGGGTCTGAATACTTTCCGTACCCACTGTATATACACGTACATTTTCATATATTAAATAACGTTAAATAGACCCTATTTTTTCTGTATTTTTCGGCTGTAGATTCCTTTCCTCACCTCCCTCATTCCTTCAACTTTTCCTCTGTTTTGTCTTCCTTTTCCCTCTCATTTTCTTATCTTCTCTACTGCTCTCTCTCTCTCGCTCATGCCTTCTGAAACATTCAGAAACATTAATATTCTCTTTCTCACTCCGAGTCGAACCTTATTTTTTCCTTTTTTTCACTCTTTCTCTCAGAATTCACACACTTTCTACTGGATTGCCTATGTCGGCAGCATTTTAAGGTAGAAGTCTCTTATGCTCACTAAGGCTGCATTTATGTGTTTAAAAAATACAGTAATATTGTGAAATATGATTACAATTTAAAATAACTGTTATCTATTTTAATATATTTTAAAATGTAATTTATTCCTGTGATGCAAAGCTGAATTTTCAGCAGCCATTACTTCAGTGTCACATGATCTTCAGAAATCATTCTAATAGGCCAATTTGCTGCTCAAGAAACATTTCTTATTATTATCAATGTTGAAAACAGCCGTGTTGCTTATTTTTTTGTGGAAACTGATACATTTCTTTCAGGATTCGAAAGTTCTAAAGAACAGCATTTATTTGAAATAGAAATCTTTTGTAACATTATAAATGTTTTGTAACTGTCACTTTTAATCAATTTAATTTGTCCTTGATAAAATGTATCCCTGAATTAAAGTATTGATTTCTTAAAAAAAAAAAAAAAGTTAAAATGCGCAGCATGCATGTTTAATAGTTTCTGTGTCTGTTGGGTACTTTGTGAGTGGTTTTGATGTGAGGTTTGGTGCTATGTTTGCAGGTGTAACACGGGTCGCTTTGTTTTCGCCTTGATTGCGTCTCTCTCAGATCATTTCAACTCACACTTCACACAAGAAGTTTCCTTTAGTGGTTTATGAAAAAAGAAATATTTGCCTGAACTACTTTTCATAGTGTATATTGTGGTGAAACAGATGAAGATAAACTTCTTACTCAACAAATTAAACAAATGTGTGAATCTGGCTGGTTCATGGTTAGATTCTGAACAATCAATCAACTTGTTGAATCCAGGAAACTAACTAGCTAACTTGCTGACAATAATGGAATTTATATCCATTAATAATAAACAAAAATGTGAAACTGCAACAGCTAGGGAGCTATATGTAAAAACTGAATAATTATCGCCGTTCACTACTGAAATTGACCTCTTCCACATACAAACTCAGAAACGTAAGTATCAAAATGATATTTGAAGTGCCCAGTTGTAAGTCAGATTTGAAGGGGCATTCAAGTGATAATTATTCCGTTTTTAAATAAAGCTCCCTAGCTGTTGCAGTTTCACATTTTTGTTTACTAATAATGGATATAAATTCCATTCATGTCAGCAAGTTAGCTAGTTAGTTTCCTGTTTTTTTCTGACCACAATGCACTTAAATGTGACATTGTGTAATTTTGACTAGAAACGGGAAGTAGATTATTCTGGCAAGCTTGTAAAGGCAGCATAAGAACACCCCTAACCTTTGGTAAATTCACTATAATCCTGGCTTATTTCTTCATTAGAGCCAGATAAATTTGGGCCTGACATTTTATAAAAGTTAGCGTGAAGATTAGTAGTCATATTCACCCAAGGTTATAGCAATCCTGCTTTAATCCACTTTAAAGAGGTTCACTCTGAATTAGCACTGATTTTAGATTTGCGTGCTCACATATTAGCACAGGATTAGTAAACATCAGATTAGTCTAATGCACTCTATTGTATTGACATCTATTGTGTCGCTTTCTGTTGTTTTATTACAGATAGTGCTAACAAGGCTGTCCAGGATTTATTTTAATGCATGTTTTTTATGTTTTAACAGAAGAAAAATTGCATTTGGGGCCAAAGTAAATAGGAGTAAATATTTTTTCTCCTTCTAATGACATAACAATGCAACAAAGTTCTATTATTTATTTATTTTTATTAACATTTTCAAGTCATGCTAAGGATTTTAGACAATTTTGTTTGCTATTCAGATTTTTCTGCTTCAGATTCTCTTGTAAATGCATATTTTTTTCTTGTTTTAGTCCAAAACAGCACTGTAAAAAATATGATCTGTAAGTCATGGCAACTTTTTTTTTTTTTTTTTTTTTTTAATGCATGAAATCATTAAAATACGTTAAGCAATTTCAACTTTTTATATATATATAAGTTATATGAAATTCAACTTGATTATTAAAGTCGGTTTAATGTTATTTAAGTTAAAATTACTTGTACAACCAAGTTGATTATACTTGAAAATTTAAGACAGCAACTGAACATAAGTTTTTAAGTTAAAATAAGTGGAAGTGTGAAGTTTCTATGCAGTTAGTGTCACAAACCGAATTGTATAAATAATTAGTGTTTTCAGAGTTTTCCTGAACACTGAAAAGTGTTTACAGTCAGTCTTTAAGTGGTTTACTTATAGTTTCGCAAATTGGGATCAGGTTTTGACATAAAATAAAGAAGAAATATACGATTCAGAACTATTTCTACATCACAAAATAAATGTAAACATTTTTTCCATCCATTGATGCAACAAAATTCTATTTTCTAATTCTAATTAACGTTTTCAAATTAGGCTAAAGAACATGATCGTCAGGTTTTGTTCAGTGCTGCTGTCATTAAAGAAAAAGAGACACAAGCCAAATAAGACAATATGAAACTTTTTACTCAAATCGTTTTATGCTGATAATATAATAGTGGAAAATAGCAGCATTTTCACTGATAGCCTCAGATTTTGGTCCCCAATGTATATCTTCTTATCCCTCTTTCACTCTCTGTGCTTTACCACCGTCACCCCTGGCTGGCATCGAAACCTCTGCAGTTAATCCATTTGTATGTTTTCAATTACATATCAAATGGATGTAGAGGTTACTGTAGTGTAGCTTAAGCCCCTGCCTGTAGCGCGCACACACAGCCCGACTGTGACCTAAATATCTGCACAAAATTATTTGGAAAAACATGCATAAACATACATATTTTTTGTATATATGTTGTTTTATTAAATTTGCATATATTTTAATAAAATGTATATTGTTGACAATTACGATTGTTGCATATAATACCATATAAAAAAATCATAATTTAGATATTCTTAACGTATGTACATATACAAATTTTATTATAGGGATTTTAAATATGTTCTAAACTATATCTTCACCTGCCCAGATAATGTACGTATGTGAAAAACCATCTCTTGATATAAACTCTTGGTATAGGGCTATATATGTCATATAATATTACATTTCTAGTATGAGGTAGTTATGAGTTTGTTAAATTCATTAGATTTTCTACACCGTAATAAAAATCCGTAAAATTTACGGTAAAAAAACGGCAGCTGTGGTTGCCGGATTTTTACCGTAAAAAATACGGTAGCAACATTTTCGGTTTTATGGTTTTAACTTAATTTATAGTTAAATACCGTAATTTCATTAACTGACATAATGCTAATATACCAATCTATTGAAGTACTGAAATCTGTTTTGTACCTTTGTAATACACTGATGACCACCAAATGCAGGAGGTGATGAGAAAGGCACATGATGAACCAAAGCCCATCACAAGCAGCTTTTAAATAATAACATATATAGAAGGTGCACAGTATCATTCACACAAACACTAAACACCATCATGGTAACACACATGAAAATGAAATAATGCAATAAACATTCATTTAAAAATATTAGGTGTAACACAAAACCCTAATATACAAAACTGATAAGAAAAAATCTAAGAAGAAACATAGTTATTTCAACAAAAAAAAACATAAAATTTGAAATGTAACACAGGGAATTCTGGGAATGTCAATTTACGGTCTTTTTCCACTTCCAAAAACGGTGTACTACCGTAAAATTACATGTAATGTCCAATACAGTTTTTCACCGTATATAGTAGGGGAATTTACCGTTAACCATTTAACAGGTTTTTACTGTAGCATTTTTACAGTCTTTTACCGTTAAATTCACAGTAATTTTTTACAGTGCAGTATTTAGACTAATGACACTCAATCAGTTTATGAAATTTTGCTCCATTACATAATGGAACTAATGTTTGGTAAGAGATAGTTAATTCATTGATTAGCTATAAATGAGATTTCTCTCTCACACACACTCACTGTCTGTAATTTACAGCGCCTGCAGGGTGAATGACATGTGTGAAGTGAAATATATCTGTCTGTATTTGGGCGTCACTTTAGAGTGGTAGTATTTCAGTGTCGCCCTTGGGCTGCAGGGTAATGCAGCCATTATGGCTTGAGCAGGACTATACATCACTCATAATCATACCTTATAGTGGTCGATAGATATTTTATGTTGGGAAGATGAATGGATGCTATATCCAATAGTCTGTAAATGTTATTGAGTTTTTCAGGACACACACCATTAACTTATTATTCTCTCTCGCTCTTCCTCTCTTCATCTCCCCCATTGTTCTTTAAAGGGGCCATACGCATCCTTTTAGTATATCAGACTATTTCAAAAGAGCATATTTAATCAATTTTTTCCATAATATGGCCAACATTTTGTCTGCTACTGTGATTTTCCTGCTTTTGAATCTCTTGTAAATGAATCTTGTTTGAACAAAACAGCAGGTACGTAAAGGTGAAGAGTATAATTTCCGCACTATTAGTGTCAGAAACAGAATCACGTAAATAATTATTGTTTTCCGACTGTTTTCCTGAACACTGAAACGTTTTTGCAGTCAATCTTTGAATGGTTTTGATCAGGGTTATTGTAGTTGGCTAAAACTAAAACCATAAAAAACTTTTGTTACTTGAAATAAAATAGACTTCAACTGAAATAAAATATATATATATAAAAAAATCTTAAACTTATTTTATTTCAGCTAGTTGCCAAGGCAGCATTTCTCATTTTACTTAACTTAGAATAACTAAAACAGAAATAAAAAATAATAAAACTGTATAGACATATTTTAAAAACAAAAACTAATAAAAATGTCAAAACAAAAACAACAATATTTGGGATAGGTATTTTAAGAAAAGAAAGAAAAAAAAAAGATAAATAATGTGCAGTCTTACCTACGATAGCCTTGCAAATATACCTATAAATTATTTAGCAAAGTCTGTCTGGGCTGATAGATTTCTGCCTCTGCACAGTATATAATGTCATACGGTCCAGTCGTAACACCCACAAATGTAAACATACATGCTGTCACCCTGGGCCCCTCATGTCAACCCCTGTTGGCCCTTCTGTCTGAGACAGGGTATTTAAATGAAATAACATCCACAAGAGTAGCCAAACACACACACTCACACACACTCACTCGCACATGCACACAAAGGAAATCACAGCCAGGCTGTGGGCCAGAAGGGCCCTGTGACAGGGTGTGGACAGGCTTTAACAGCAAGTGTGTGTGATGGCTGTGGACCCTGTGACAGTAATCCGATCCATTACTCTATATTCTTTCTGGAAGACAGCCGTGAAATCTTTCATATACACTTTTGCCCTCTTAAGTCACAATGGACATTTATGAAACTTGGGCCACTGCCAACACATGTATGTTGACCCAGTTTAAGCTAACCTAAAGTGTTTTGCTGGTTTAAGCTGGTTTAGCTGGTCAGTAAGCCATAACCTAGCCAAAAACTCCTCTAAAACTAGTTCTCAACCTTTTTGACTTCAAAGACAAAAAGATGTTTAAAAGCCCACCAAGATATTTCTGGTACTTGGTGCCTGGTTCTGGTGATGAAGCTGTTTGTTTTCAGCCTTTTTTATTTGGAAAATATTTTAACAATTATTTAATAATACTAATAATAATATTGTTGTTGTTGTTATTATTACTTATTAATAAAATAATTAATTATTGCTAATAATAATAATAATTAATATTAATTATTAACAACAACAATAATAATAATATAATGTATTATTATTGTTATTATTGGTGGTGGTGTTGTTGTTATTTTTATTATTATTATTACATTAATACAATTCCAGAGGTTTCATTAACTAAAAGTTCCTCAGCCTTTACACTTTTTATTGAAATTACTTTTCTAATTGAATGTGATTGATTTTTTTTTTTTTTTTTTTACTCAGAATTTCTCAGTAATTTCTACCGAATAAACTATTTTAGGGCTTGACATAGTTTTTAAGATTTTACTAATTTCCATGACCTTTTAAGATTTTAATTTCCATGACTTTTCCAGGACTAGAAATAAAAATTCCCTTACATATCCAGGTTTCCCAATTAAATTAGAATTAAATTGAGAAACATGATGTCAGCTTGCATATTCTTTTTTTTTTTTTTTTTGCTGTTTTAGCTTATTTTAAAGCTTGTTTTGTTTTATTGTAAATCATTTTAAGTCATCTTGCAGCCTCCTTGGAAGTGCGCTGAAGCCCCCTAGTGAGTCCCGGCTCGCTGGTGGAAATTAATTGCTCTAAAACCATCAAACTAAACCAGCCTGACAAGTGAAAACCCAGCCTGGTGATAGCTAAGACCAGCAAACCACTTTAGGGTAGTTTAATCGTTTTTTTCTTTCCTCCAGCATGGAACTCGTATGCACATTCCATTCAACTCGGAAAGTTGGAATGTCCAACTTCCTAGTTGGAACAGTATAGTAAAATGCCACTTCCAACTTGGAAACACATTCAGAAACCTAAAACCCTGATTTTGCAAAATGCAGATGTGCAGTGTAATGAACCACATATTAATCTCTCTGATATTTGCACATGGCATAGCCAGCAGTTGCAGTTCTTTATATGTCATTTCCTGAGCATCAGGAACCAGAAAGATCCTTATGGTTGAAATTCGAAGAGATGAAGTAGTAGGAATATCCTGCAGCACTATCCTTGGGTTTCTTATGATGACAGAAATACTGAAAGTCACTGGCAACTGGATTCAGGAGCGCAGCACACAAACATACACATACGCACAGAAACAGTACTCGCTCACATACCAGGAAGCTGAAATCGTGATCTCTGAACTAGTCCAACTATTCATCATGGCTTGGCCTCATCGCCGTTCGGATGGGTCGGCCAGCTGCGAAACATACGCACACACAGGCATCTGTGACCCATCTGCACACAGTGAGTCTTGGGGGCTGTTTATCAAATGCTGGAGACACTGAGACTAACTTTCATACTCATACGCCCCAACTCTCCCTCCTTCTCTTTGTCCATTCGTACTGTATATATTAGTGCTACATTGCAACAGCGTTTAAAACAAATCAATGATCACAAATATTATGCAAACAGACATTGAAATTTCCTTTTTAATGTTTACATTTATTCATTTAGC